AATATTTATTGATTTATTATTAATATACACATTTAATATTATTGCATTGCTTTACTGTTACTGCCACCAATTTTAATGACTATATTATACTGATATTGTTACCAATATGGGCATCAATACTTTTTGATACTACTATTAATTCATTGTACTGATTAATGATATTGATTCATTATACTAATACTGAATATATGATATACACAACATATTATTACGATACTAATTTAATACTGATATATAATAATTGGATAGCATGTGTACATCATTATAAGATTTTACTATATGGATATAATTTTGGTTGTTCTTACTGAATGCATTAATTTTACTATTTTATGTGATTTATAATTTACTGATTGATAGTACATGATGACTTCTTTATCGATTTAACACCTAAACTAGCTTACTGGCTTCCCCGTTGTATTGCTTTTACTGTATTATGTATTATATTATTTTACTGTTACAGACTTTATAGTTACTACATGTATATTATTTTACTATTTATTCATCAATTCATAATCATATGAGTGCTACTGCTACAAATTGACTGATGACATGCATAGCATTTCATTATCATGCTTTGAGTCAGTTGTAGAATTAGATGTCTTTGTAGACTTTTTAGCTCGATTTAAATAATTTTAGATCATAGGAGAGGATTATGAGAGTGAGATTGATCAAGATTCTCCAAGTTTACTGTTATTTTTGCTTCTTTTAATTTTGTAACTATTCATTTAGACTCATGACATAATAGTTATGATATAATTTTATATATCCTGAGAAGTGTATATGATTTTTGGGAAAATTAATACAGATGTATATATTGATAATTTGATTGCTAATTTGATTTATGCTGGTATATATGTTGATAAAATAAATTAGGTAGCTCTGATTATTGTATATTAAAAGATAAAATGAATAATTTTTCCAAAGTAAATTCTGAGATTTCGCAGCACCAAATAAACAATAACGATAAGTGAGATGGCATGGCCAAAGTGATGTTGAATCTTTCCATCAATGCTAATATATCTCAATGTCTTTCTATCTTTCAGGCATTCCCCGTGCATGAAGGAAAGCATAAAAGGAAGCATTGCCAAGTTTATGTTGATGTTGAGCTAGATTAGCACGACTGCCATGGCTAATGAATTTTTCAAGCAAGATGAGCCTAAACCTTCCCAAGGCCTCCTTTAAAATTTATACTATAGTGGCCGAGGATATTAATTACTTGAGTTATATGTTTTCATGTGTAGAGTTGAGATCAATTTTGAGAGGGCATAATTTTTTAAAGCTACAATTTTGAGATCATTTTGAAAGGTTATGCAATCTCCAATCTTGTAGAAGATATAGTTAGTTTGTATGTAACTATTTCAATGACTTATATCTTTAATATTAATGAAAGAATTTTTTTTTAATTCATATGTGACCTATTAAGAAAGGAAGAGGCAGACCTAAAAAGACTTGGTTAGAAAATATTAGGAATGACCTTTCTTTATTAGATTTAAACGAGAATTTGATCTTTAATAGGACACAATGGAGAAAAAGGATTCATGTAGCCGACCCCACGTAGTGCGATAAATACTTGTTGTTGTTGTTGTTGATGTGACCTATTAATACTTTTTATTATTTTTTTTTTACCTATTAATATTTTATATTCCATGTGACGAGCAATTTTTTTAGGGTAGGATCATTTTTTGTGATTATTATGAATTGTATATGATACAAGAAAGCAAGATGATGACTTCTACTTTTTTTTAACTTGAGAAAATAAAATGAGGACATGTATATAATGAAAGAGTTCTAGAAATTTTTATCGAAAAATTTTATTTTTTTAGTTGAATGACATTAAGGCTTCGTTTGGGACAGCTTTAAGCCACTGCTTTTTCCCTGCTTTCGAAAAAAAAAATATACTAATAAGCATCTTTACAAAGTAGTAAGAAAGCCATCCCAAATAAAGCATAAATCTTTTTAGTTTTTAATTAGGACTATTAATTATTCAATTATAAATTTTTAATTTAATATATTGAGCTAACTTTTAACCATTCGATAAGAGAAGTAAAACTTATTCTTTTTTTTTTTCATCTTTCAAACAAAATTGACACATACAAGACTAGGCATTCATGTTGGAAGAAGGAAGATAACCCTGATCTAAGCTACACATGCTTTCTCCGATTTATTAACTCTTGCATCAATTTTTCAATCTCATTATATGAAGACCCTCCCTCCTCGATAGCTCTCCTTGCCTTTTCTCCAAGAACCTTTGCCCTCCTCCTTCTCTCATCTGCCTCCTCCCCTTCTCCCATCAAATTCCTCACTGCCGCTTCTATTACAGTAGCCTCTAGAATCGGCCTGGTCTCTGGATTAAAATCATACACTTTTGACCCCACTTCCACCCCAACCTTCAAAACCTCCACCAAAAGCTTTTCATTATAAAACTGCTCGGCGAACAAAGGCCATGTGGCCATAGGCAACCCCGCACAAATCCCCTCTAAACTAGAATTCCACCCACAATGAGTCACAAATCCCCCAACTGCATAATGATTTAATATCAATAGTTGTGGAGCCCACCATTTAATCACCATACCCCTCCCTTTAATTCTCTCCTCATATCCCTCAGGAATCCATTTATTATCCCAATTTCGTACCACCCAAATAAATGAAAGGGTTGATGCTTCTAGCCCGAGCGCCATTTCTCTTAATTGAGCCACTGAGAAAAGGCCACCGCTTCCAAAGCACACGTAGACAACCGAGCTCATTGGTTTTTCATCAAGCCATTTTAAGCACTCACTAACGGATGTGCTTTGCTCCCCACCTCTCATTAATTTGCAAGTCACCTCTTGATTACAAAGTGAAACAGGGCCAACATTCCATGCCCTCCTACCAATCACTTTGCGGTAGTGATCAGCATACTCCGGCTCCAACTCATAAAAGCTATTAATCACCGTTCCATAGTTCTTCGAGTCCACCTCTTCAATCTCTTTATATTTCTCTAGTAAGAACTCCATCGGTGTTCCTGCTAATTTTTCGAAGTCCATGATTTGAGTTCTTAACATGCTTATTTTGTGGGGGAGGTCCGGAAGAACAAAGGAATCCACTTCTTCCAAGAGTAAGCGACACTCATTGAAGGCATTAGCAGCACAAAGTGCAAAGTTATTGATGCCATGGAAGACAAGCCGTGGAATACCTCTCGCAGCGGCGACGTGGTAGGTCCATGGCAAGAACATATCTGTGACGACGCAATCAGGGCAGAGATCACTAAGCACAGCATCGAAAGGAATGCGAAGTGAGTCAACGGCTTTGAAAAAGTTCTTGCGTTGATTGTCAGGAAGGACGAAGCTTCGATTCTCACACCCCTCGGGGAGGCCAAAGTCGGTGGAAGGGAAGGGAATGATGTGGAGACAAACGGAGTTATCGATTGTGGGGCGGATGATCTTGGCATTGGCAGGGGTCGTCAAGATGGTGATGCGGGCACCTCGGGCAGCGAAGAGCTTGGCCATGTCGACCAAGGGGAGCATGTGACCCTGCGCCATGAAAGGGAAGAAAAGCATGTGAAGATTGTTGGAGTTGGAACCCATGGCTGAAAAGCTAGAACCTTTTGTGAGAAATGAAGTGAGCGAGAGCATAGGCTCATTTTATATAAGGAAAAATGAGCTTCAAGGAAGCCAAAAGCAAATACGTCTCTGAGTTCTAGAAAGCTATCGCCATTGCTGGATTGCTATGGGGTCTTCTGGAACGAAGCTAATGGACAGATTTCCAGTCTTCTGCACAGAGAAGTGTGGAAAAACTTGCCGATTGAATCATGCCAAAGTGTTCATGAAGAAAGCTCGAGATAATTCACAGCAAGTTAGCACTGTATGGTCACCACCAGCTTGCATCATTTGAAATAAAAAAAATAAATAAATTATCTTTTTATTAAAAAAATTAGTGACTTCAATAAAAACCTTCTCCAACTTTGCATAATTAACCGGACTTAATTAAATCCAATTAATTTGAACTCGCTTCATTTAATTAAGCAAAAAGGTGGACCCGAATCCAACCTGCTGACAACCCAAATGGCCCAAATCAAACATCATAACCTATTTTAATTTTAAGAAAAAAGTCATAGCTTGTCAAATATATAATTTAGATAAATTAATTTAAAATAAGATTATACAAAAAATACGAGAAAAAGCAAATTCATAAGCTATCTCAAATTTGACCGATTTAATCGTCATAATCGAACCCGACCCGCTTATTAAATAGGTTAACCCAAATCTGATCTTTCCAAGTCAGGTTGGGTTCCGGTTATTTATTGAAACTCTTATATATAATATTCTTGAAGCTGGTTTATTATATTTTTATATTTTTTATTATTATTAAAAATGTTAAAAGAATTTAATATTTATATATAACATTAATCCAGTAAGCATATATTTTGCTAACATATCATCTAAAATACTTGTACAATTTGAGGTATATCGACAATGACGCTTGACAATATAAAAGTATTACAAAAGTAAAAGACAATCCTGCAAAAGAAAAACTATCAAAAAAGCATACCTACAATACTGATCAAAGTCTAATATCAAAACTACTCAGCATGTTGTTGACCTCATTTCTATATGAGGTCATCATGACCTATCCAGACTCCTACTTGATGATCTAATGGTTGGTAATCATCCACTTGCCAATCATAGAGAACCCAATCAATTTCAATCCAACCTTTAATGCCATACTTTTGATCCAAACTCTCAATCAAACATCAAATCATATTTAGTCAACTACAATCATTCATTTGATTGTAATTGGTGTGGATAATTCAAATTCAAACAATCAAAGTCAAAATTCAGTACAAATCCAAAATTCCAAATTAAACCTCAGAGTTAAGGACCTAGATCCTAAAACCCTTTATAAGTGATTTTTTTAATCCCGTTGAAATCCAGTAAAATGACTCATAATTCATGATCTATGAATTGCAAATTGATTAGGCATGTCCCTATGGTCAATCCTCAAAATTTGAACTCAATCCAACACTTCTAACCCTAGAAACTGAATTGGTTCTCAAAGGTTACAAAACCTTCAAATATTAACGGCCAATGCCAATGGACCTTCCACCTTATGGAATTTGACCTTATAACCTTCCCCAAACCTTTTGAACCTACCCAAGACTTTCAATTTAACATGTTGACTAGTAATCCATATTTTGTTGGATCCAACTTGACCAAAAGTTAGCTAAGGGTCAAAATGACCAAAATGTCCTTTAAGATCATTTTTGAACTTCCCCAAAACTCAATATGGAACTGTTAAATCAATCCTTGAAACCTCTTCCAATGCATCCTAAACATCATTAGTAAAACATTAGACCCAAACTCATGCTTTGGTTTGACCTGGTTGACCAAGTCAACCATAATTGACCAAAATGCCCTTAAGGGTCTAAATGGTCATTCAACCCTAATGACCATTTCATTGCATATGATCTCCTCTATTGGTCTGAAAATACTCATTTGAACTTGTTTGAACCAAACCCAACCCATGATTTGACTAGGGTGACCAAGTCAATCATAGTTGACCAAATCAACCATTAACCTTCAATAATATCAATTTCAATGCTTGAACTCATTTCAAATCAAATCAATCCTTCAAAATCACTCAATTAGACATCCTTAACATGTCCAAATTTTATCCAAGACAAATCCCTCGAGGTTTAACTTGGTCAACCCATTTGGAGGGATCAAAACACTCTCCAATCTCATGTATTTGCTCAAAACTTCGAACCCTTTATTTCCAACACTTGGCCACATATTTAACCAGCTAACTACACTCCCTTAATTTCCATATCACTCCCTTTGCTTGGTTTGGCCAGCAAAATGGTCAAACAAGCCCTCATTTGATCTTAAGTGGTTATGCCACCTTGGCAATCCATATCTCATTCCAAGACCTACTCTTACCTGATGGGAAGTGGCAAATTTCCCTCCCTAAGAGGCCCTAAGCCAACTCCTTAAACCATGCTTTGCTTGGGTTTAGCCAAATGGGGGAAAAGGGGTGTGGTCCTCCTCCCCATGGACCAAGAGAATTAACACTCAACCCCAGCCTTCTTCCTGGCTTCTAAAAACCTTAGGGGACACTTGGCATGCATCCAAGCTCCCTCCAAACAAATCAAGGCCATTCAATTCAAAAGGGGAGGGTTAAGTATGACAACTTGACCTAAAACCCTATCATTCATTCTCATTAAAAAAAAAAAAAACCAGCTTCAACAATTTCCAGCTCTCCAAAACCATTACTCATTTTCTCCAGTCCTTCTTAAGGCCTTCCCAAGCTTTCTCCCACCATTTTCAAGCCTCAAATAACTATTTTAGTGAGGAAAAAAGGAAATTAGTGAGAGAAATATGGTTTTCACCATCAACTTCAAATCCAACAATCAAAAGCTTTTAAGGTCTTCATCAAAGTTGTAGAGGACTTCACCAAGATCAAAACGAGCCCAAGATCTCAAAAAGTCATTGATTGGATTGTAAGATATTCCCACATTTTATTTAGATTTCAATTTGAAACCACAAAAAATCTACAATGCATGGAGCCTCCAAACTCCAGACATTGGAAGATTAGGTTGCCATTAATCTATGTTTAAAATTTTGCTAAATTTGGATGAGTATTTTTCAAGTTATAGCTATTTGAAAATTTAGTTCAAAATGGACTAAAATGCTCTGTTCAGAGAAGAACCGTCTAATCGTGATACAGGTGCGATCAGACTCTCCAAGAGACGTCATAGGGCATCACTTATCTCATAAAATGAGCAATATATTAAGTAGGGACCGCGCGGGGGTGACGTGGCCACATCTGGGCCCTTTATTTGAACCACAATCTATCCAACAGTTGGGATTAACCGCTAACGTGGCTAAGTGAGCCTAGGATTGTGCGCCATGAATAAATTTAATAGAGTGTAAAACCTTAAGATTAAGTTACAATTAATCACTTAATTAAATTAAAATCTTTAATTTAACTACATCAAATTGGTACATAAGCTGAACTACCTTGAGCTGCAAGGTTAAGTGTCCTAAAGAGGCATGTTTCCTCGAGCCCACTATGACAATGCTATGAATCAAATGATGAAAATTTTAAATTAACTTAATCATTAAATTTAGTAATTAACTAAATTAATTAAAATTCTCCAACCTTTAATATATAGCCAACTAAGTTAATTAATATATATATCGATTACTACTAGGTAACCCGAGCCTATGTGGACCTCCAAAAGAGCATCGCGCAAATGGGCCAATCGGAAGAGATAGATTGGATCGTGCATACGACTAACCATTGAGGATAGAGGCTCTCGCCAGCGCACCCCAATGGGTAGTAATATACATGACCTGGTCACAGTCACGGGTTTCCCCCACCCGATACATCAGCTCAGATGGGGTTTTATTAAAAGTGGGGCCAAGTTTCCCACGAGCGCAAGCCCCCGTGGTTAATTACATCCCAGGCCAGAACCTAAGAAAACTCTTGATTAAGGATCATACATTATCCCTTTCTAAGTGGGATTGGCACGATGGTGTAGATTAAGAAGTCCTACTCAAAGGGAAGAAAGGTCCAAATGGCTAAATCAACATGCGGGGTTCACACCAGCATTCGAAGGATCTAGGGTACTAAAAAGAAACTGGAGAAAATAAAAGTCAGACAATCGAGATATACGTGAGAGAAAAGATGGGAGTGGCGTCATCCTGTGATGCAGATAAGTAGGATTTATAATCTCTGAAAGGAAGGAATCTACCTATTATTTTAGGCATACTACAAGACCGAATGTAGTAACCTTGAACCCTAAATCTAAGTTAGGTTTAGTGTTCTACACAACACTAAGGTCCGTGTCCTAACTAATGTAGTGTAAAACCTAGACTTACCCCGGCCTGGATTGGGAAGCCAGTTAACCACCTAATCGCTTCAAAACCATGTAGTCTAGTCATTTATGAAAGATGAGTGGATGGTATAGTTTCTGGAAGTATGGCCGACATCTATAGGGTTTTCTAATTAGCCCTGGACTTATATTGAGTGAATATCCCTAACTAATGTAATTAAAATTTTATTTAATTAGTTACTAATGCAATGCATGCTAGTTGAAAGGTCGAATCATGAATGCATAAGACTTTAAAAAGAGGCTTAATATAAAATAATTTTTAGAAAAGATTGGGCCTCCCTAGGTCCGGCACTTCATCCTTATTGGCCAGATTATCCGGACTCTACCCGCTGGCAGGGAAGTGTCTTATAACAAGGAAAGAAAGATGCAATCTTATGCATGCGACCCCGGATGATTCTGAAAATTCCCTAGATTCGTTAAGTTTCTATGTTATTTAAATCTTAAAGATTAAATTTTTATTATGAGTAGAAGAATTTACTAGTCCTTAATGAGCCTAACGAGATCCAAGCGAACATAAAAATGGCATGCAAGAAAGAAACCTAAAAAAAGCAGGTAATTTCTATTGTACAAACAAAGTAAACATATCAATATAAATCAACAAATCAACTAAATGGTCATATACAAACTATCGTTATTACAACCCAGGGTATGCATAAAGTAAAGTGCCCGGGCACCACTGCCAATAACCTGGATTTCTAAGCTTATGACAGACGCAAATGACTTTGAGTGGGATATTGGCCTTCAAGTTTTTATTCTTCCTAGATTTTTTCTCCTTAGACTCCTTGGATCTCTCCTCCTTTAGCTCCTTGGATCTCTCCTCCTTGGACTCCTTAGAACTTTCCTCCTTGGACTCCTTGGATCCTTCGTGGCTTGAATATCCAAATGAAGAGACAATTCCCCCTTGGTAGGGGGTGTTGCCTTTTCTCTTTGGATATCTAAAGTCATCCAACTCGATCTTCCAAATGGAAGAAGACTCTCCCCTATGAGGATGCCTTCTTCTTTTGAAATTTGAGTTGTATAAGAATATCACAACTCAGAGTCATTTTCACAACTCTTAACAATTTATTACAAATTTTTACATTAATGGAAAAGCAATAAATCTAAACTCTCTACAAGGTTGTCCTAATAAAAATCATCCCAATCAGATATAATCATCAAAGGCGGTTATATAAAAATAAATGCATATCACAACCAAACTTGGCCATGCTCTTAATCATGAGGGCTAAGCAGTCCACCTGTAACGCCTATAGCAGTTATAATTTAATGATTTTATTTTAGCCCTCATTTGTTTAGGGGGACTGAGCAAGTACCTGCATAAGATATTATTAGAAATCATGACAGTGCCTCCCTTTTTAGCATCACGTGAGCATGGTCACCTATAATAAAAGCAATATATGTATATGTCATTCCTAACGTAGGGGTAAATCTAACGTCCATCACATCAGCCTACAAAATGCTAGGAAAGTAAGCAAACACACTAATTATTCATCACAGCATGCAGTGAAATCATCGAAAAGCTCCAGCACACCGCAGAAAAAGTAAACACTGACCCGGCCTAAGTATAGAAGTGGTGCCCTAGCAAATAATTATATATGTGTGTATGGCTGGTGTGGCTTGTATATGTCCTAAGCTGGATAGTTGGTTAAAGTTGTCTAAAGTTCAAGTTTGTTATAGACCAAAAAAAATGAAATTTTAATTAAAGTTTAAATATTAATGAATTAGGATCCATTTTAGTTAATTTAGTTTATTGATGAATTTTAAATACTTAGGGTAGTGATACTTGAAATTTAAATTGCATTAGTCAATTTTGGAAAGTCCCGGATCCTCCTAGGTATTAGGTTGAGAGGGTCCAAAAGGTCACTATAGGAAATAAGCTAGGTTTGGAGTTCCTACCACTTTAGGTAAATACTAGACCTTAATATGAGCAGTTAGACAGGTAGTTTGCTGGATTTGGAGTTTCCTATGCAAAGTTATGAATTTTCTAAGTTTCGGACCCTAGACTATAAGCTAAGGTTGACTAAAAAGTTGACTTTCTAATTTAGGCTCATTTTTGAAATTCTAATATTTTTAATAAATAATATACCCTAATTGGAGTTTAATTCAAGTGAGTTTACTTAATTTAGAATTTTTTATAATTAGTTATGAATTTCTAAAGATCGGGTATTTATTGGAATTATCTAAATTATCTAGTTAAGGGCTGATTTTAAGATTTTGATCCAAATCAGCTTCAAACTGATTGTAATCACCCCCAAAGGTCATAAATGACATAAGGAGATGTTCCCAAGTGTTTGAAGAAAATTTTGAATTTTTAATAATTTTTAATGATTTATTAGAGGCAAAAAGGTAATTTTCATCTAAGGTTAAATTAGAGGTTATCCTAAGGTCAAACTAAGTAGCCCTATTTATCTCAGGTAAAGCACTAAATTCTAGACAATTTGAGATATGGTAAATATTTTTTTTAGTTAAAATATATTTATTATAATTTTTAGAAGGTCCCGGGGCCCTATTTAATAGGTAAATTATGGTTGGTTAATTAAAGGGTCTATAAGCTCCTAAAAATTCCTAGCAAATTCTGAGAAGTTATATATGTCAGTAATTTTAAATTTTGAAGTTTTCATATCAATCAGTGATCTATCCTAACTCATAAAATTTTTCTATGTTCGCTAGACGGGTCCTTAATTTTTATCCTTAGGGTGTCACTACATTGTAGGAATTTAAATTGAAGTTCAGGCTAACCCTTAGATTTATAATGCATGGTAACACACAAAAGCGAAAAACACATCATGTCCTTAAATCTAGGAGAGCCTAAACTAAGTGGTGGTGCGTTCTACGCATGCAAACTACAAAAAAGAAAAGTAAATACAACTGAAATGATTAGTGAATAATTGAGACACAATCATCCACTAATTCGCTCCCCCATGATTGCCCTTCACACATACAATCCATGTTTAAAATTTTATGTAGTGGGTGTCCCAAAATTAGGAGATTTAATATATAAGAAAATTTAAAATAGTTTTAAAATACTTATAAAAATATATATAATTTTGAAAATTAATGTACCTGAAAGTAAATCAATTCATAATACATAACTATAGGGAGACCCATTGACCACCCTAACGAGATTTCAAAATAATTTGAAAATAATCTTTAATTTTAAATAATTATAATAATACTTATAAAAATAATAATAATATACTCAAAATAATAGCATAAAACGAAATCTATCCAAATAGCTAGAATCAATTAATGTTATGTTATTATTATAATATTATTATTATTATCATTATTAAATATAATGGTATATAATAATAATAGTATAATAATAATATAATAATAAAAGTATTTTTATTGTTTTTTAAAATAAATTAAAATATATTTATTATTTTAAAATAAAAATAATTTTAGATTAAAGAGGATGAAAATCCGAACAATTCGATATGTTGTGCGCGAAAAATGGATAAAAAGGGACCCATCCATTTTGTACTCTTGGAACGAATATGGCTTCGATTCGCCGGAGATCTCGCCGCCGCCGGGGTTTTGGCGGCGAGATTTGGTCGCGGAGGATGTAGAGGGGTCGGGAGAGCTCTCATAAGGATTCTTGCCGCTTGTGAGAGCCTAGGGAGAGAGATCAAAAGCAAAAGTCCCATGTTGACCTAATTTCTCTATATTTATATTCCTATTCAACACATGGACGGTTAGGATTGCAATTCACACGCCAATTAGGAGGGAAAATATCTGGGTTTGGCCGTGGATTGCAATTCAAAACGAAGGGAATTTATTTAGGCATTAAATGGGCTCTTAATGGGCTTTAATAGGCCAATTTTGACCTCTTCATGACTCGGGTTGACCTAAATAAGGTCAGGGGAGAGTGGGATTGAGCCAAGCCAAGGTTTAAATTGATCAGGATTGGAATTAGGACTCAAAAGGACCAAATAGGTCAACCTAGGTTGACCCCGTGCCCAGGTATGGGCTCAGCAGACTCAGATTGACCCCTTAAATTGGATAGGAGAGACATGGGTCCTAGCTTGGTCAAATTGACCAAGTCAACCCCTTGGTCCAAGGGTTTTGGCAAAAATCAAGGTCAACAGCCTTGTAGGCTATTAGCCTAACCCCAAAGAATGTGAAAAAAGCTTCACAAACCTGGTATAAGTAAATGTAGTAACCAATCAACTTTTAAAATATATTTTAAAATAAGTTTTAATACATTAATATTTAAACTCGAATTAATTTTTTCTTTTGACCTTTAACAAACCTAAATACTAGTCAACTTTAACAAATTATCCAGTCTAGGGCATATACAAGCCACACAGCCTTTTGCACACACTTTAGATGGAGACTCTAGATTAAGGCTAGGCCGATGTTTACCTTTTACTATTATTTGTCTAGTTTTTCGTGATTTTTACTGCATGCTGGTTGATTAATATGATTGCTCTGGTTGATGTGTTTATTTATTTAATGCAATATGAGAATTAATGTGATGGACGTTAAATTGCATTTAAGTTAGGAACGATCTAGTTACTCATAGAGTTTTCTGCATGTGGCCACGCTCACACATGGCTATAAGTCAATAAGGCAAATTCAAAAGCTTTTAGAATTGACATGTTTTGTGTATGTGTTAAAAATGCTCAAGTCTCCCTTGAAATCAAAAGACTGTGACCAAGTGTGATGTTATTTTAATTTGAACATATGCATATTTATAATTGTTTGGGATGAGATTAAAAACTTTCAAAATAATGATTTTAGTAAACTTATAACTGAACTGAACATAAATTTTAATTATGATAACAAACAAACCAAGATTAAGCACTTGAAATATAGTTGAAAACTTTATAATCTTAATTATACGAACAAATAATCTTTAAATCTTACATAGTTGTGATCAAATCGGGCATCTAGGCCAATGTAACATGACTAACCCCTATAACTCTAATTGCGAAATAAGGAAACATTTATAAGGAATGGAGCATGTCCCCCACGTACATTATTATTCTATCATTTAAGATGAGTTTTAACTATGATTGAACTAAATGGCCTTATTTTTTGTGATTATGTTGAAGGATAACGATAAAGACATAAGCATAGATCCTAAATGGCCTTATTTTTTGTGATTATGTTGAAGGATAACGATAAAGACATAAGCATAGATCCTAAATGGCCTTATTTTTTGTGATTATGTTGAAGGATAACGATAAAGACATAAGCATAGATCCTAAATGGCCTTATTTTTTGTGATTATGTTGACCTGTATGTGACACGAGAAAGCAAGATGATGACTTCTACTTTTATTTTACATGAGAAAGTAAATTGAGGATATGTATATAATGAAAGAGTTGTAGACTTTTTGCTTGAGAAATGTTAGTTTTTTTAGTTGCATGACCTTAAATCTTTTTAGTTTTTAATTGAGAGTATTAGTTATTCAATTATAATTATTATTGATAATCTGATATTTTTTATAACTCATTTATATAGATTTTTTATTTAATATATTGAGCTAAGTTCTAACTATTCTAAAAGAAAAGTGATACATATTCAATGGTTTCTTCTTTCAAACAAAAATGCAACCTACAAACTAGGCATTAATCTTGGAAGAAGGAAGATAACCTTGATCAGAGCTACACATGCTTTCTCCGATTTATCAACTCTTGCATCAATTTTTCAATACCATTATATGAAGATCCTCCCTTCTCGATAGCTCTCCTTGCATTTTTCCCAAGAATCTTTGCCCTCCTCCTTCTCTCATCTGCCTCCTCTCCTTCCCCCATCAAATTCCTTATTGCAGCCTCTATTCTAGAGGTCTCGAGAATTGGCCTGGTCTCTGGATTAAAATCATACACTTTGGACCCCACTTCTTGTGAGACCTCGTTCCCTTACTGTTCCTCTCTGATTTGAATTTTCCTCTCAGGATCGTCCGGGACGATTTTAGATCGTCCAGGCCGATCGGCACTGTAGAAAATATCGGCCTGAGAATAGTTCTGGGAACCGTCCAGGACGATTTTTCTGGTCTGATCGTCCCGGGTTATAGGTATTAGGTGACCTGCTGGGCTTTGTAAAGCTCATTATATGTGGTTGATATTTTCAGGTCAGGGCAAGGGAGCAGAAGATAGGAATTGACCCAGATCTTCAGATTTTTGTCTTTTGATTGATTTTGATTCTTTTGTACTCAGGATAGATTTCAGTACTGGTGATTGTAGTGTAGTTCCTAAGTATTGTACATGACTTTTGAGATATGAATCGAATTGTATATTGATGTTTTAAATTTTATAGATGTTTGATAGACTGGTTAATTGAAGGTTTTAGATAACTCTGGTAAATTGTTTGAGTAATTGATTGACATTCTTTCCAAGTTTGATCTTGGGGCATCACACTTCTACCCCAACCTTCAAAATATCCACCAAAAACTTCTCATTATAAAATTGTTCAGCATATAAAGGCCATGTGACCATCGGCAAGCCAGCACAAATCCCCTCCAAACTAGAATTTCACCCACAATGAGTCACAAATGCCCCAACTGCAATATGATTCAATATCAATAGTTGTGGAGCCCATTCTCTTGTCACCATCCCCCTCCCTTTAATTCTCTCCTCATACCCCTCTGGAACCCAATCATTGTCCCCATTTCGCACAGCCCAAATAAATGAATGCTTTGACGCTTCAAGCCCAAGCGCCATTTCTCTCAATTGAGACACAGAGAAAAGGCCCCCACTACCAAAGCACATGTACACGACCGAGCCCTTTGGTTTTTTATCAAGCCATTTTAAGCACGCATAATCAATGATTGTCTGCTCCCCACCCCTTGGTAACGTATAGATCACCTCACGGTTACAAAGCAAAATAGGGCCAACATTCCACACGCTTCTACCCATCACCTCACGATGGTGATCAACATACTCTGGCTCCAACTCATAGAAGCTATTCATCACTATCCCATAGCTTGGCTCCAACTCCAGTATCTCTTTATGCATCATTCCGAAGGACGAAGGTGAGGTTCTCACACCCCTCGGGGAGGCCGAATTCTAAGGAGGGAAAGGGGATGATGTGGAGATGGACAGAGTCATCGATAGTTGGGCGGATGATGGCGGCATTGAAAGGGTTGTAAGGATTGTGATGCGAGCACCAAAGGTTACAAACAGCTTAGCCATGTCCACCAAGGGGAGCATGTGACCCTGCGCCAAGAAAGGGAAGAAAAGCACGTGGAGATCATTAGCTTTGGAGCCCATGGCTGGAAAGCTAGATCCTGTTGGAAGGGATGAAGTGGAGTGATCAGAGACTCGTTTTATATAGGAAAATGATGAAGGTTGCGACTAAGGGATCGGAGAAGAAGCACTGTTCTTCGATTGCTATATTTCTCTATTCGTCATCGCTAATGACTATGGAAGTCGCTAAGGAACTCGTTTTAACATTTTTATCATAATTTTAAATATTTTATTTTATAAATAGAATATTCTGATAAAATTTTTTTGATAAAACAACAAAGGAATCACATCTATGAAAGCAATTTTATTAAACAAAGCATCGTTCTCATATGAAAGACCTCACAAAGAAAAGAGAGAGCCTTTCACTACTTTAGTGGCTCTAATTTTCAAAGGTTTGTTGATTGAAAAGCACTTTAAATAGTAAAGGGCGTCACTGTCTTTATTTGGTTGTGGGATTTAAGGTTAAGATTTTGTTTGAGAAAGCTTTAAAATTGCTTTTTAAAATAATTTTTTGTACAAAAAATTCTTGAAACGAAAAAATAGTGGCTAAAAGCTATCCCAAGAGAAGCCTAAATCAAATCAAATCAAAATTTTTATTAATTAATTAATCAAATTAAATTTTTGATTTTAATTAATTTCCAAAATTTTAGACTTTATTTTGAAATCCATAAATATTGATTATAAATTTTATAATCATCTTAAAATCAATTAAAAAATATCTCCGAATAAGATAACACAATTATCACAAATTAAAATTTTGTTTGGAATAAAGGTTGAAATAATTAAGAATAAATATTGTCTACTTAAATAAAAGATTTCACTTTTTCTTTAAATTGCCTCTACTAAGAAATTCATTTGATCAAGGTGAATCTCGAGATATAACTAGATTGAAAATTTTTTAAATTAAATTTAGAACTCCGATTTTAGCAAAATTAAAGTCGAATTGAATGTCTCAATCACCAAAATTGATCTCCAGTATCAAATAAGTCCAGATCAATCAGTTGAAGTATAGCTGACACCTTTATAATATTAATTATAGGATCAAACATTCTCTAAATTTTACATGCTTATAATTAAATTGATTAATTTGGCCATCATCCCATATAGATGGTCAGGAGAAGTAGAAGAAGAAGAGTAGTTATTCGTATTGGGGGAGATTAAGGCTTCGTTTGGGACGATTTTTTTTATTAACGGAGTTTTAAAAAGTCGTCCCAAACGAAGCCTAAATATAACAAAGCTTCAAATGTGTCTTAAGTTTCTCCTGAGAGAAGGGATGGATTTGTCCCCCATGTTGATTATTATATTGTTTAAGATGAGTTTTAGCTATAATTGAACTTTAAGGCTAAAGATAAGATGCAGATATAAGCATGGATTCTAATTGGCCTCAATGTGAGTGGTCATGAAGATTGCACTTCAATTCTATTGTACCAAATAGATAGTAATAATATGTGAAGAAACATGACCAAAGAGATTGTGAATCTTGCCATCAATGCTTATATATCTCAATGTCTTTCTATCTTCTAGGATTTCCCCATGCATGGAGCAAAGCATAATAAAGAAGCATTTAGGAGTTTAAGCAGATGCTGAGCTAGAATAGCACAATTGCCATGACTAATGTTTTTCTCGAGCAAGATGGCCTCAAGTTGTAACAGCCCAAATTTTTAACTAACAAAATATTGTCCGCTTTAGCAAAACGGCCTCACCGTTTTTTCATGTTGGTGTAACTTCTCAGGAGGTCACCCATCCTTGGATTTCTCTGAGATGAGCACGCTTTACTATAAAGTTTCTTAATGAAATTTCAATCCTTACACAAAAAGGCACCTTGATGTTTAAATGTTTAGCTTAATTTTACTTAAGGGGTTTCGCAATCTTCTTAGCTTAAGTAACTAACGTCTTCGTTAGTATCCCTATCCCAGAGTCATCCACCGGGCAAATAAAATTCAAATATTTTTTTCGTGGAAAGCAACTTTTTATAACCAAATCCTTAGTTAATGTGTATGTAATAATTTCATTAACTTATATTTTTAATATTATAATGGAAAAAAGTTTTTTTATTCATATGGGGCTTATTAATATTTTATATTCCTTGTGAGAGAAGCAACAGTAAGATTGTTTATACTAATGAAGGAGTAGGATCATTTCTTATGAATATAATGGCCTGTATATGACATAGAAAGAAAATTGATGAACACAAGTCTCCTTGGCCTATTGGTTGAGAGCTTAGGCTTCTAACTAAGAGGTCCAGGGTTCGAGTCAATGTGTATGCATTGTGTGTGTGAGTTTGCCTTAAATGACCTAAATGTCCCAAAAAAAAAATTTGATGACTTATATTTTTTTTTTAACGAGCAGATGACATGTATATGATGTAAGAGTAGACGACATTTTGTTTGAGAAATGTTAGTTTTTTTTTTTTTCAAGACATTAAGACTTCATTTGGGATGACTTTTTTACTGCTTCTTAAAACTATTTTATAATACAAAATATAATTTTTTTGAAATAGAATACTGCTTTAAAAAGCAATAAAAAAGCTGTCCCAATGAAGCCTAAATATTTTTAGTTTTTGATTGGGACTATTAGCTCTTCAATTAAAATTATTGGTAATCTTGTATTTTTTGTGACTTATTTATATAGAATTTTTTTATTTAATATATTGAGCTAAGTTTATGATCTTTTCAAAAGAAAAGTAAAACTTATTCCAAACAAAATTGATATATACAAAACTAGGAGAAAAGCTTGAACTACGCTACACGTGCTTCCTCCAATTTATCAACTCTTGCATCAATTTCTCTATCTCATTATGCGATGACCCTCCCTTACCAATAGCTTTCCTCGCCTTTTCCCCAACTCCTTGGCCCCCCTCTCCTCCCCCCATCAAATTCCTCACTGCAACCTCTACTACAATAGCCTCTAGAATCGGCCTTATCTTTGGATTAAAATCATACACTTTTGATCGAACTCCCACCCCAACCTTCAATACATCCACCAAAAGCTTCTCATTATAAAAATGTTCAGCATATAAAGGTCATGTGATCATCGACAACCCCGCACAAATCCCCTCAAAACTAGAATTCCACCCACAATGAGGCACAAATCTCCTAATTGCCATATGCATGATTCAATATCAATAGTTTGTGATCAAATTGAGCATCTCGACAAGTGTAACATGACTAAACCTTATAGCTCTAATTGCAAAATAAGGAAACATTTTTAAGGAATTGAGGATGTCCCCCATGTTCTATATTTATTTATTTATTTATGTCTTTCTATCTTTCAAGCAATTATTTATGTGTTTTGTGGTACCTTTATTTTTTTACTCCCTTACAGGTTGCCTGGGTGGTTATTTTTTTGAAAGGACAATAATGAATGCTGATTATTCAGCAACCCCTTGGACGGTCGATTGGCAACCAAGGGTTTTTGTTCTGGCCAGACCCGCTCGTGAACAGACTCAATTCGTGTATTGGCAGAACAGCCTGAGTCCTTATTGGCTTCTCAGCCATTCTGTTTTTGCTTATGTTATGTAATTTCGTTTTCTTTTAGAACTCCTTATCTCCTTTTTTGAGATTTGAAGTTATAATTTCTGTTATTTTCTTTACTTGTAATCTTTTTGTTATATGGAAGGGCTCTGCCCCAAAATTTCCCAAAAAAAAAAAACATAAAATGTTATTATTATTATTATTCATATGGACTTATTAATATTTTTTTATTCCTTATGACAAAAGAAGCTTGATGACCTGTACATAACATGATAGAGGAAGGATTATTTTTTGTGATTATGATGACCTATATGTGACATGAGAAAGCAAGATGATGACTTCTACTTTTATTTTACATGAGAAAGTAAACTGAGGACATGTATATAATTAAAGAGTTGTAGACTTTTTGCTTGAGAAATGTTAGTTTTTTTAGTTGCATGACCTTAAATCTTTTTTAGTTTTTAATTGAGAGTATTAGTTATTCAATTATAATTATGATTGATAATCTTTTTTTTTTATAACTCGTTGAGCTAAGTTCTAACCATTCCAAAAGAAAATTAAAACATATTCAATGGTTTCTTGTTTCAAACAAAATTGCAGCATACAAAACTAGGCATTAATGTTGGAAGAATGAAGATAACCTTGATCTAAGCTACACATGCTTTCTCTGATTTATCAACTCTTGCATCAATTTTTCAATCTCATTATACGAAGATCCTCCCTTCTCGATAGCTCTCCTTGCATTTTCCCCTAGAATCTTTGCCCTCCTCCTCCTCTCAACTGCCTCCTCCCCTTCCCCCATCAAATTTCGAACTGCCGCCTCTATTATAGAGGCCTCAATAATTGGCCTGGTCTCTGGATTAAAATCAAACACTTTGGACCCCACTTCTACCCCAACCTTCAAAACCTCCACCAAAAGCTTCTCATTATAAAACTGTTCAGCACCTAAAGGCCATGTGATCATCGGCAACCCTGCACAAATCCCCTCCAAACTAGAATTCCACCCACAATGAGTCACAAATCCCCCAACTGCAATATGATTCAATATCAATAGTTGTGGAGCCCATCCTCTTATCACCATCCCCCTCCCTTTAATTCTCTCATCATACCCCTCTGGAAACCAATTATTTTTCCCATTCTGTACGACCCAAATAAATGAATGATTTGATGCTTCAAGACCGAGTGCCATTTCTTTCAATTGAGCCACTGAGAAAAGGCCCTTACTACCAAAGCATATGTACACGACCGAGCCCCTTGATTTTTTGTCGAGCCATTTTAAGCACTCACTAGCTAATGTTGGTTGCTCCCCACCCCTTGCTGACTTATATGTCACATTTTGGTTGCAGAGCGAAACAGGGCCAATATTCCACACCCTTCTACCCATCACCTCACGATGGTGATCAGCATACTCCGACTCCAACTCATAGAAGCTATTCATCACCGTGCCATAGCTCTTTGGCTCCACCTCATTTATCTCTTTAAATATCTCCAGCATGAACTCCATGGGTGTTCCTGCTAATTTATTTAAGTCTAAGGCTTGAGTTTTTAACAACTCTATACGATGGGGGAGGCCAGGAAGGACAAAGGACTCAGCTTCACCCACTAGTGGGCGGCACCGCTCGTAAGCATCCATGATGCAGAGTGAAAAGTTGCTGATGCCTTGGAAGACAAGTCGTGGAATACCTCTTGCGGCGGCAACATGATATGTCCACGGCAAGAACATATCTGTGACAACGCAATCAGGTATGAGATCTCTAAGCACAGCATCAAAAGGGTGATAAAGCGAGGCAACAGCTTTGAAGAAATTTTTGCGCAAGTCAAGCGAAAGGGGAAAGTCGTTGTCCTCGCACCCATCGGGGAGGCCGAATTCGGCGTAGGGAATGGAGATGATGTGGAGATGGACAGAGTCATCTATGGTGGGGCGGATTATTGAGGCGTTGACATCGGTAGTAAGGAAGGTGATGCGGGCACCTCGAGATGCAAAGATGTTAGCCATGTCGACCAAGGGGAGCAGGTGGCTCTGCATCATGAAAGGGAAGAAGAGCATGTGGAGATCATTAGCTTTGGAGCCCATGGCAGAAAAGCTAGAACCTGTTTGGAAGGGATGAAGTGCAGTGATCAAAGACTCATTTTATATACTAAGATGATGAAGATTGCAAGTGGCAATGGAGAAGCACTGTACTTCAATTATTAGCGAGTAACCCAAAAGCAAAATAATATTATATTTCTCTGATTTCTAGAAAGCTATTCGTCATGGCTGATGCTCGGATTGCTATGGACAGATTGCGAACCACATGCTTGGCCGGCCACAGGCTTTGAATGTGGAACCTTTTGCTCAGTTGCATTTATTTTATAATGTTAGTTGGTTGGATGTCAATTCAGATTAGTGGGTCCAGTTCAGATCTAATTCAAAATATACTTAGATTTGAATTCCATCAATTTATCATATAGGTTAAAATATTTAACCTAAGGGACTACTTGGCAACAAGTGGGATTAACCTTTGGTGTGATTAGTAAATCTTGTAAATTTGGATTTAGTATGTCAAATTTTAAATCCTGCTAAATCCTAAGAAACGATTTGATAACATATTTTAAGATTTGTGGCATTTAGGGACTGAAATGTTAAGAAGATAGTTATGAATTCAAGATAATTACGTACAACATAATAAATTCAAATTGAATTCATATTATATAACTGAATAATCAATAAAGAGTAAATGACAAACTAATATTGATCAAAACACAGATGAATTGCTAATTAAGAGCACGCTTCAATTTTCAAGTGGAATTGATATATCTTGAATGGGAGATAAATTTTGTCACGGCGATCGATTTCTTGGACTTGCTATCTTAAATTAAAAAAAATCAAGAAATCATTACAAAATATAATATTGTTTGAAATATTTACTATACAAATGAAAATTCTTATCCGAGCATTCCATAAATCAATGGCAATGTCGTGTATTATAGCTTCACCTTGAATTCTTGAACTCGTGCTTATAATTCACAAAGTATTTTTAGGAGCTATACAATTTTTTGCTTAGCAAATTCTTCGATCAAGATCAAACCCACTACTACTTTACAATACTTCAGTTTGAGTAGCATGGTGACCATCAAAAAAATTTGCTTAACAACATGATCACATGAGTTCATCTCATAATAATCAACTTGCATTTCTACAACCTACGACGACATAAGCACGATTATTGATGATGTGACGTTGTCATTTACCGACCAGCATTACTTTGAAAAAATCGATTAATAAATCATTTAAACACAAAACAAGAATGGATATTTATAGAACAAGAAAGAATGGGATGTGTGTATCTTTACAAGAACACATTGCTCGCGACTGCTACCGTAAGGAACACAAAAGCAACAAAGATTGAATATTCACAAAACGAAAAGGAAAAACCAGGAGGCATGCTTCATTACAACAACAATGTGGACCTCCGAAAGAACACCGTGCGAACGGGTCAATTGGAAGGGACAGATTGGATCGTGCATACGACTAACCATTGAGGATAGAGGATGTCGCCAACACACCCCGATGGGTAGTAATATACATGACCTAATCACGGGTTTCCCCCACCCGATGCAAGAGCTCGAGTGGGGTTTAGTAGATGTGGGGCCAAGTTTCCCACGGGCGCAAGCCCCAGTGGTTAATTACATCCCAGGTCGGAGCCCGAGAAAACTCTCGATTAATGATCGTACATTATCCTTCCCAAAAGTGGGATTGGCACTGGGGTGAAGACTAGGAAGTCCTACTCAGAAGAAAGAAAGGTCTCAAAGAGGATCAATCAACATGCGTGGCTCATATCAGCATTCGGAGGCTCTAGGGCACTAGAGAGAAACTGGGAAAAAAAAATCAAGCACTCAATCACATGCGTGAGAGAAGAGATGAAGGTGGCGTCATCCTGTGACGTGGATAAGTAGGATTTATATTCCCTGAAAGGAAGGGACTTACCTACTATTTAAGGCATATTACGAGACCGAATGTAGTAGCCTCGAATCCTAAATCTAGGTTGGGCTTAGTGTTCTACGAAACACTAAGACCCGTGTCCTAGCCAATGCAATGCAAAACCTGGACTTATCCCGGCCTGGATTGGGGGAGTCAGCTAACCATCTAATCGCTTCAAAACCATGCTATCAAGTCAATTATGAAAGATGGGTAGGAAGTACAGTTCTTTGGAAATAGGACCAACATCTAGAGGATTTCTCAAGTGGTCCAGGACTTATGTGGGTCAGATGCTCCTAGCTAATGCAATTAAATTTTATTTAGTTAGTTACTAATGCAATGCATGCTAGTTGAAATATCAGCTCATGAATGCCATAGAATTTTAAAAACAGGCTTATAGAAAATAATTTTTTAAAAAGACTGGATCTCCCTAGGTCCAACACTTCATCCTCATAAGCCAGATTATCCGGACTCTACCCGCAGGCAGGGAGATGTCTTATAACAAGGAAAGAAGAATGCAATAATATGCATTCGACCCCGGACGATTCCGACAATTCCCTAGGTTCGTTAAGTTTCTATGTTATTTAAACTTAGAATTTTAAAGATTAGTTATGAGTAGAAGAGTTTTTATAGTGCTTAAAGAGACTAACGAAAATCCAGGCGAAAATAAAATCGGCATGCAAAAAAGAAACCTAGAAAAAGCAGGTAATTCTACTGCGCAATCAGGTAAACACATCAATATAAATCCAGAATAATCAACTAAATGGCCATATGCAAATTTCCCTTATTACAACCCAGAGTATGCAAAAAAGTAAAGTGGACGGGCACCACTACCAACAACCCGGATTTCTAAGCCTATGACAGACGCCAACAACTTTGAGTGGAATATTGGGTCTTCAATCTTCAGTGTTTTTAGTCTTCTGGGTATCTTCTCCTTGGACTCCTTGGATCACTCCTCCTTGAACTCCTTGGATCCGTCGTGGCTTGAATATCCAAACGAATAGACAATTCTCCCTTTTAGGGAGTATTGCCTTTTCTCTTTGGATATCTAAAGCCATCCAACTCGGTCTTCCAAATGGAAGAAGACGCTCCTCTTTAGGGATGTCTTCTTCTTTTGAAATCCGAGTTGGATAAGAATATCCCAACTCGAAGTTGTTTTCACAACTCTTAACAGATTATTATAAATATTACATTCAAATGAAAAGTATAAAAGAAATCTAAAGAACCTGTAGGGTTATCCTAATAAAACTCCCAAGCAGTTATATATGGAAATGAAAATAACTCAAATCATTGACCATGTGCCAAGCCATACTCTTAATTATGAGGGCTAAGTAGCTCCACCTATAGCAGTTATAATTATTTAATGATTTTTGCCCTCATTATATCAGGGGGGCTGAGCAAGCACCTGCATAAGACAATATTAGAAATTATAACGGTGCCCCCCCCCCCCCCCTTTTTTAGCATGAGCATGGCCACCTGGACGGAAGAACAGTATATATATATAAATATGACGTTCCTAACCTAGGGGTAAATCTAACGCTCATCACATCATCCACAGAATGCAGAAAAAGTAAGCAAACAGGCCAATCATTTTCAAACAGCATATAATGAAAGCCACGGAAAGCTCCGGCACACATCAGAAAAATAAAACCCAGCGGCCTAACCTAGATCTAGAAGTGGTGCCCTAGCAAATAATTCTATGTGTGTAAGGCTGGTGTGGTTTGGATAGGTCCTAAGCAGGGTAGTTAGTTAAAATTGCCTATAATTCGGATTTGTTATAAGCTAGAAAAGGAATTTTTAATTGAAATTCAAATATTAATGGATTATGGTCCATTTTAGTTAATTTAATTTGTTGATCACTTTTAAGAGCTTATGATACTGATATTTAAAGTTCAAGTGATATTAAACAATTTTAGAAAGTCTCGGGTCCTTCTAAGAACTAGACTAAGGGTCCAAAAAATCACTATGGAAAATTGATAAGGTTTAGGTCTTCTAACACCTTAAGAAAATACTAGACCTTAATATGAGTAGTTAGACAGGTAGTAGGATGAAATTGGTGTTTTCTAGGCAAAGTTATGAATTTTCTAAGTTTCGGGATCTAAATGAACTACAGTTGACCAAAAAAATGACTTTCTAATCTAAGCCATTTTTTAGAAACCTAAGATTTTTAATAAATACCATATCCTAATTGGAGTCTAATTCAAGTGGGTTTGCCTAATTTGGAATTTTCTACAATTAGTTATGAATTTTTTAAATTCAAGGTATTTATGGGATTTTTCTAAATTTCCTAATAAAAGTGGTGTTTTTATTGTTTTAATTCAAATCAGCTCCAACCTGATTGGAATCACCCCCAAAGGTCAGTAATAACCAGACAAAGTGTTCCCAAGTGTTTGGAGAAAATTTAGGATTTTTGATAAATTTAAATGAATTATTAGAGGCAAAAAGGTAATTTCCATCTATGGTCAAATTAAGGGTCAACCTAGAGTCAAACTAGGGAGCCCTATTTATCTAAGGTCAAGGGTCAGATTCTAGTCAGTTTGAGGTATTATGAGTAATTTTCTGACCTAAAATATATTTATTGTAATTTTTGGAAGGTCTAGGAGTCTTATTTAAGAGATTAATTAGGATGGTTAATTAAGGGGTCTAACTAGCCCTAAAAATTCCTAGAAAATTCTGGGAGGTTTATGATATCTCTAAGTTCAAATTTTTAGGTTTTCATGTCAATCTGGGGTCTATCCTAGCCCCTAAAAAATTTTTAAGTTTGTTAGACGAGTCCTTAATTTTTGTCCTTAAGGTGTTACTACGTTATATGGGTTTAAATAGAGTTTTACACTAACCCTCAAGGTAATAATGCATGGGAAATATATAAAAGTAGTAAACACTCCATGTCCTTAGATCTATAAGAACCTAAACTGAGTGCTCGTGGTGCAACCTACACATGCGATCTACGACGAACAAAAAGTAAGTACGAATAATGAAGGGATTAGTAAATGATTGGAATTCAATCACCCACTATTCCACTCCCCCATGATTGCTTTTCATTCATAGAAGCTATGTTTAAAATTTCATGAAATAGCGAGTCTCCCAAAATTAAATTAATTTAGTAATATCGTAAATAATTAAAAATAAATATATATTGAAAGAAAATAAATAAAATTTTATGAAAATAAATATAATTCAAAATAGTTCCATTCATAGGTATTTGGGAGACCCACTGACCACCCAATCAAAGTTTCAAAATAATGTTTTAATTTCAAAATAATTAGGGTAATTAATTATTTAAATAGGGTTAAAATAGTCACATAGGGATGAGTGACAGAAATCTGTCAGAAAAGTGAAAATCAGTGATTGAAAATAATCTTAAAACAAAATTCATATTTATTTGAAAAATTCAAGGGGTTATATGTCAAAATTCGATTTGAAACGGAAAAGATATGGATTTTCAAAGTAAAATCAAATCGTGTAGAATATTCGTATCTATAACATATTAAAAGTTGTGCGGTGAAAGTTGTGTCAATACAAAACCGGGTCCGTTTTTCGATCACAAAAACACAAAACAGTGCACAATACGATCAAAACTCAATATCTCTGAAAACAGAAATAGGATTCGGAGTCCTTACCACGAGATAAACACTTTTCCCAACAGCGGCGTCGGACGAAAAGCGCTCCGCGGCCTCCGAAAACGAGCTTTTCCTTCGCTTTCCTTTTCTTTCTCTCTCCTCAGATATTTTTAATTTTATAAAAATATCTTCTCTCTCCTTAAAACGAGCTGATTTGCTTATAACATCAGACTGATCGTCCTGGCCGATCGCCACATCGTCCAGGACGATATGACCAATTTAAAATCATCCAGGACGATAATTAATTTGTCAAAAACCCTTGCTCTCGGGATTTTGCCATGCACTGATCGTCCCAGGACGATTCCAAATCGGCCTGGACGATCCTAGGAGGAAAAAATCAAATCTGAGAAGGCAAATCAAAGGAATGAGCTCTCACAGCATGAATACTCTTGCAAAGTTTTAGAGCCTGAGGAGGTCTGAGGCTAGAGCAAGAGCAAAAAGATCCCTTTCTAAACCTAGGTTTTTCCTATTTAAAGCCCCTAACCTATCTTGAACGGCCTAGATCTCCGTTAATTAGGAGGGAAAATAATAGGATTTGGCCGTGGTTTCAAATTCAAATCCATGGGATTTGATTTAGTCATTGAATAGGCCTTTAATTTCATTTAAATAATTCAATTCTACCAAATAAAGGCCCTGGTTGACCAAGTCAAAGTTTAACTCGGTCTACCTAGCCAAATCGACCCAAGGGAAGAGTAGATTGGGTCACGCATGGGTTCGAATTGATTTGGATTTAAATTAGGCTCTTAATGGGCCTAACTGGTCAAAAAATAACCCATTAGGACTTGGGTTGACCAAGTCAAAGGTTGACTTGGTCAACTCAGTCCACCATGCCCAGAGGTTTGACAAAATCAAGGTCAACAAACAACAACATCATCAAGCCATTGTCCCACTCCGTGGGTGGATGTGTGCTTCATTACAAGAAAAAAAAATACTACCCAAACAGGCATTTGGAAGCATCAAACGATTTCTATTTCTAGCGGAAAAGGCATACATGTGAGGCGAGAAAACACTGCTCGCGACTGTCAACAAAGTCCTATCGGATAGGAAGACACGTGATCGGAGAGGAAAACGAGTCGGAGAGGAAAACGAATCGGAGAGGATGAGGCAGTGCACGAGATTGATGCTTCCCTTCGTTGCGGCATATAAGGGCATTCACACAACTTCACTACACAGGTACCGTATGATGGACTTCTCGCGACCATAAATCCCGTTAAATTCGTCGAACCGAGGGATTTACAAATTCTCGGATTTACGTCGCAAGTCTGTAAATCTGAGATTTACCGCGGAGTGACGGAACACTCGAAAACCATTTGTCAGAATATATCATAAGTCCAGCATAAATCTGATATAAAACAACCTCTAAGCTTGAGTCGACTTGAAATTGCCTGACTTGAAATTGCCTATCCTGAAATTGGCTATTTGACATGTTTATGATATGACTAGTATAATATTTTTTAGATCAACACGATACGTTTAACCCAACTACAATCCATTAACCTTAAAATGATTCATTTAATCTCAACATAACCTGAATAATAATTGTGTTTAGATTTTTTTAGTCGAGTTGATATCATATTTGATAAGAGAGAGGCAATTAAAGATGCAAATCACCATGTCGTATATTTTTAGGTCAATTTTGTTGCTTTTATTTTTAATTTATTATCATTAAATAATATGATTTCCTTATAATGTTAGAATTTTATGACTCCTTTCATTTTTCATTTAATTTGTAATTATATATAGTATTTTTTTATTTTTAAATAAATAAATTAGATATAATATCATGCCAAATATGTATAAATCAATGAGTTGAATTATTTTTCAATTTCATCTTCATAAAATCAATCCAAATCAGTGCCTAATGTCTGAGTATTAAGTTATCTCTCATCCTCATTCCCTGCTCTTCAACTTTCTCTCTCTTCACTCCATGAGATCGATGGTTTTCCCTCTCCTCAAGCTTGAATTTTAGGGTTACAAATAGGAGAAGCTTTAAATGTAACTTCTATCATCTTATAACCTCTATATGTGACCAAAAAGTTAAAAAAAAAAATACTAATGACATTATTGGACATGCCATTATGCATGAATTTAACATAAAATTACATGAAAAAGGTTGTGATAAGTGCATACAAATATTCTCTATTTTCAATTATCTTCCTAACTAAAAAAGGACACATATGATAATATACTTATAATGTGATATAACTTTTTGAATTTATTATTGTATAGTTATGTATTTTTGCATCATGGAGTATTCGTGGCGATAGAGAGATAAAGAGTTTAACGTCTTAGCATTGAATAAAGATTCAGCACACATACAGATAAAAATAGAAGGATGCGAGAGTCATAACAGACACCATAATTTTTACGTAAAAATTTCTATAAAGGGAGAAAAATCACAAGATCTGACCCAATTGAAATGAATTCACTAGTTACTGTTGTTGATTACAAATGATGCCCTTTCTCGCGGGAAGATGTTTGCTCATTGTAGAAAATATAGTGCACATTACATAGTTGGGGTTGGAAGAATTCAATGATGTCTCAAGAGAATGTTGATTTGTTCGTTCGTTGGTAGGGCCGTATTCAAGCGATGGAGGTCAAGGGACTGTTGTCGGCGAGTGACGATGGTCGCAGGGAACCATCGTCAGTGGGCGAATGTGGTCGGACGAATGTCCAACTGTGGCTATTGAACGGAGGTCCGACGGCGACAGTTGGGCAAAGGTCCAATAGTAATGGCCTAGTAGCGAGGTTTACCGAAGATGGTGCAAGGGTGGAGCTCCATAATACTCCAAGCTTTAGAATTATCTTGAGTCTCTAGTCCGGGGACTAAACCTCCATTAATGTGTATTAATTATTTCAATAACTTATATCTAAAACATTAATGAATGAGTTTTTTTTCTTAATCCTGTGGGACTTATGATTGGTAATCATGTATTATTTTTACTCGTTTCTATTATAAATTATTATTTAATATATTGAGCTAATTTTCAAACCATTCCAAAAAAAAGTAAAATTTATTCCAAACAAAATAGATATACAAAAATAGAAAGAAAAAAAAAACTTAAACTAAGCTACACATGCTTCCTCAAATTTATCAACTCTTGCATCAATTTCTCTATCTCATTATGCGATGACCCTCCCTTCTCGATAGCTCTCCTTGCCTTTGCCCCCAGCTCCTTGGCCCTCCTCCTCCTCTCATCTTCCACCTCTCCTCCCCCCATCAAATTCCTTACTGCAGCCTCTACTATGATAGCCTCTACAATAGGCCTTGTCTCTGGATTAACATCATGCACTTTTGATCCAACTCCCACCCCAATTTGCAATACCTCCACCAAAAGCTTCTCATTATAAAATTGTTCCGCATATAAAGGCCATGTAACCATTGGCAACCCCGCACAAATCCCCTCTAAACTAGAATTCCACCCACAATGAGTCACAAATCCCCCAACTGCAATATGATTCAATATCAATAGTTGTGGAGCCCATCCTCTTATCACCATCCCCCTCCCTTTAATTCTCTCGTCATACCCCTCTGGAACCCAATTATTGTTCCCAGTCTGTACCACCCAAATAAATGAATGATTCGAAGCTTCAAGGCCGAGTGCCATTTCTTTTAATTGAGCTATTGAGAAATAGCCCTTACTACCAAAGCATATGTACACGACCGAGCCCCTTGGTTTTTTGTCAAGCCATTTTAAGCACTCGCTAGCTAATGTTGGTTGCTCCCCACCCCTTGCTGATTTATATTTCACTTCCTGGTTGCAAAGCGAAACAGGGCCAACATTCCACACCCTTCTACCTATCACCTCACGATGGTGATCAACATACTCTGGCTCCAACTCATAGAAGCTATTCATCACCATGCCATGGCTCTTTGGCTCCACCTCCTTCATCTCTTTAAACATCTCTAGCATGAACTCCATTGGTGTTCCTGCTAATTTATGTATGTCCATGGCTTGAGTTTCTAACAACTCTATACGATGAGGGAGGCCAGGAAGGACAAAGGACTCAGCTTCACCTACTTTTAGGCGGCACTGCTCGTAAGCATCCATGACGCAGAGTGAAAAGTTGTTGATGCCTTGGAAGATAAGTCGTGGAATACCTCTCGCGGCGGCAACATAATATGTCCATGGAAAGAACATATCCGTGACAACACAGTCGGGTCTGAGATCTCTGAGCACGGCGTCAAACGGGTGACGAAGAGAGGTAACAGCTTTGAAGAAATTAACGTTCAAGTCAACCGGAAGGGGGAATTTGCGGTTCTCACACCCCTCGGGGAGGCCAAATTCCACAGAGGGAAAGGAGATGATGTGGAGTTGGACAGAATCATCGATGGTGGGGCGGATGATGGAGGCATTGACAGGAGTAGTAAGGATAGTTATGCGAGCGCCATGGGCTCCAAAGAGCTTAGCCATGTCAACCAAGGGGAGCATGTGACCGTGCGCCATGAAAGGGAAGAAAAGCATATGGAAGTCGTTGGCTTTGGAGCCCATGGCCAGAAAGCTTGAACCAGATGGAAGGGATGAAGTGGAGGGACCAGAGACTTGTTTTATAAAGGAAAATGATGAAGATTGCAACTAGCAATGGAGGCACTGTGCTTCAATTATTAGAAATAGTATTCGGTCATCGCTGACGATGGCATTGTTCTGGAGTTTTCTAGAATGCAGGAGGTGTTACACACTTGCATATACTTTGTTATGACAGATTATTGGATATCAATATAGATTAGTGAGTCCAGTTTAGATCTAATTCAAAATTTATTTTATTTGAATATATTTGATCTGATCCATTTATGATATAGCATGAAATTCTTTATCTAAGGCTTCATTTGAAATGATTTTTTTATTAGTTATTAAGCAGCTTTCTGCTACAAAAATTTTAATTTTTATGCTAAAAAATTGCATTAAGAAGCAATAAAAAAGTCGTCCCAAACAAAACCGAAAGCTTTGTTTGTGATAGCTTTCGCACTATTTCTTAAAATTTCTAACACAAATTTTAAATTTTAAAAAAAAATTGTACTGAGAAACTGTTTTAAAAATCAAGAAGAAAGCCATCTAAATTCACATAGAAATTATTAAAGCAGCTTTATTTTAATTTTTTTTTTCATTTCATCTTCCATAAAATCAAGCCAATACTAGGGCTAATGTCTAATTATTAATTTTCTCTCCTCCTTAGGCCTTCTACTTTCTCTCTCCTCTATCTATGAGGTCAATAGTTTTCTTTATCCTCAAGCTTAAAATATTTTTAGGTCAAGACATAGATGTTTTAGGATTAAATTAATAGACTATTTAAAAAAGAGTTTTGTGAGTTATTTTCAAGATTATAATATTATTCTATGTGAATCTTAATATAGAAAGACATAAATCCAAATTCTCAAATATTTTTCTACTAAGTAATCATTTGGAACAGCTTTTTTACTGTTTTCTAAAATAATTTTTTAAAACAATCCTTTTTTTAATTAAAAAATTTTATACTAAAAATCTATTTTAAATATCAATAAAAAAAGGCCTTAGATAAAACCTAAACATCTTAAGAGATTGATCAATTACTTATCTCTCCAAATTCACCTAAAAATTTCTCGTTTAAAAAAAAATTATAGAAAAAAATTGATTTAAAAAGCAATAAAAAAACCGTATCAAACCGTGGGGCGCACCGTTTTTAATATTGCTTCCTAAAACATCTTTCTAGTATAAAATTTTATTATTTAAGAAATTCTTGTACTAAAAAGCTGTTTTAAAAAGAAACAAAAAGCAATCACAAACGAAGCTTAGAACATACTTGCAAAGCAACAAAAAAACTACTTACTTTTACAATTAACTGATATTTATCACTGAACTTCAATTGCTGTGCGATGAGCATCCGATTTGCTTTACTGGTTAAGCCTGTAGCTTCTTCCCCTGAAGGCAGAAACCAGAGCTGGGAGGAGCAGCACTCATAGGCCTTGCTCCAGGACTGCTGTAAGTGAACGCTTGTTGTCTTCCTGTAGCCCATCGTGCAACTAATTTGTGTCTGTTAGGAATGGTGGTTAAGAAATTCAACTTAATGGAGAACTAATATAGTGCACATTACATAGTTGGGGTTGGAAGACTTCAATGATATAAGAGTTATTCTCAAGAGAATGTTGATTTGTTTGTTTCATTGGTAGGGCCGTAGTCAAGCGATGGAGGTCAAGCGGACGATGGTCGCAGGGAACATAGTCGGCGGGTGAATGTGGTCGGACGAATCTGCGGCTATTAGACGGAGGTCAGATGGCGACAGTTGGGCAGAAGTCCAACGGTGATGGCTTAGTGGTGAGGTTTGCTGACGATGTTGCAAGGGTGGAGCTCCATAATACTCCAAGCTTTAGAATTGTCTCGAGTCTCTAGCCCAGGGACTAAATCTCCATTAATGAGTATTCAATCATTTCAATAACTTGTATCTAAAATATTAATGAAAGAGTTTTTTCTTAATTATGTGGGACTTATGATTGGTAATCTTGTATTTTCTTTAGTCATTTCAATTATAAATTTTTATTTAATATATTGAGCTACGTTTCTAACCTTTTCAAAAAAAAAAAGGTAAAATTTATTCCAAACAAAAGAGATATATACAAAAATAGGGAAAAAAAAACTTGAACTAAGCTACACATGCTTCCTCCAATTTATCAACTCTTGCATCAATTTCTCTATCTCATTATGTGATGACCCTCCCTTCTCGATAGCTCTCCTTGCCTTTTCCCCCAACTCCTTGGCCTTCCTCCTCCTCTCATCTTTCTCCTCTCCTCCCCCCATCAAACTCTTCACTGCATCCTCTACTACGATAGCCTCTACAATAGGCCTTGTCTCTGGATTAACATCATACACTTTTGATCCAACTCCCACCGCAATTTGCAATACCTCAACCAAAAGCTTCTCATTATAAAATTGTTCCGCATATAAAGGCCATGTAACCATCGGCAACCCCGCACAAATCCCCTCTAAACTAGAATTCCACCCACAATGAGTCACAAATCCCCCAACTGCAATATGATTCAATATCAATAGTTGTGGAGCCCATCCTCTTATCACCATCCCCCTCCCTTTAATTCTCTCGTCATACCCCTCTGGAGCCCAATTATTGTCCCCAGTCTGTACCACCCAAATAAATGAATGATTCGAAGCTTCAAGGCCGAGTGCCATTTCTTTTAATTGAGCCATTGAGAAATAGCCCTTACTACCAAAGCATATGTACACGACCGAGCCCCTTGGTTTTTTGTCAAGCCATTTTAAGCATTCGCTAGCCAATGTTGGTTGCTCCCCACCCCTTGCTGATTTATATTTCACGTCCTGGTTGCAAAGTGAAACAGGGCCAATATTCCACACCCTTCTACCCATCACCTCACGATGGTGATCAACATACTCTGGCTCCAACTCATAGAAGCTATTCATCACCATGCCATGGCTCTTTGGCTCCACCTCCTTCATCTCTTTAAATATCTCCTGGATGAACTCCATCGGTGTTCCTACTAATTTATTTATGTCCATGGCTTGAGTTTCTAACAACTCTATACGATGAGGGAGGCCATGAAGGACAAAGGACTCAGCTTCACCTACTAGTGGGCGGCACCGCTCGTAAGCATCCATGATGCAGAGTGAAAAGTTGTTGAGGCCATGAAAGATAAGTCTTGGAATACCTCTTGCGGCGGCAACATAATATGTCCATGGCAATAACATATCCGTGACAACACAGTCGGGTCTAAGATCTCTGAGCACGGAGTCAAACGGGTGACGAAGAGAGGCGACAGCTTTGGAGAAATTAATGTGCAAGTTAACCGGAAGGGGGAATTTGCGGTTCTCACACCCCTCAGGGAGGCCAAATTCCACAGAGGGAAAGGAGATGATGTGGAGTTGGATAGAGTCGTCGATGGTGGGGCGGATGATGGAGGCATTGACAGGAGTAGTAAGGATAGTTATGCGAGCGCCATGGGCTCCAAAGAGCTTAGCCATGTCAATCAAGGGGAGCATGTGACCGTGCGCCATGAAAGGGAAGAAAAGCATATGGAAGTCTTTGGCTTTGGAGCCCATGGCCGGAAAGCTTGAACCTGATGGAAGGGATGAAGTGGAGGGACCAGAGACTTATTTTATATAGGAAAATGATGAAGATTGCAACTAGCAATGGAGAAGCACTGTGCTTCAATTATTAGAAATAGTATTCCGTCATTGCTGACGATGGGATTGCTATGGAATCTTCTGGAATGTAGAAGGTGTTACAAACTTGCATATATTTTGTCATGTCAGCTGATTGGATGTCAATTTAGATTAGTGAGCCCAGTTTTGATCTAATTCAAAATTTATTTTATTTGAATACATTTGATCTGATCCAAATTCTCATATAATTTTCAACTAAGGATTCGTTTGAGTTTACTTTCTTACTGTTTTCCAACACAAATTTTTCAGTACAAAAATTTTTTGAACTAAAAAATTTTATACTAAAAAATTATTTTAAAAAGTAATAAAAAAACCGTCGAGAACAAAACTGAAATATCTTAAGAGATTGATCAATTACTTATCTCTTCAAATTCTCCTTCTGGTTCATATTTGAAATGGTCTATGAATAGTTATGAAAATAAAATATAATCATCATATTTTAAATATATTTCAGAGAAAAATTAACTATTTGGCTTAATTTTTACTCACATGAAGAGGTTGAGATTGGAAGATTACGTCTATGAAACCTTTATGAAGGTTTTTTTATATTATTTGAAAGCTTATTTTATAAAAAAACCTATCCTCAGCTACAGTTTTTCAAACGAGCTCGATCTCGAGCTCGAGCTTTTCAAACGAGTCAAGCTCGAGCTTGATATTTCCTAAACGAGACAAGCTCAAGCCCACTTATCGAGCTCGAACTAGAGCTCGAGCTCATTAAGGATTAAACGAGCCAGGCTTGATAAGGCAAATACTCGACTCAACTCGTTTACACCCCTAGTAAGGTGGAGAGGAGCTAAAATAGTGTCCATCTCTGAAAATGAACAAAAGAAGAAAAATCTTAAATATCTAAAAATTATTTTGAATCTTTTTTTCTTTCAAAAATACAAAAATAAAAATAAAAAATGATCCCAAAAGACCCCTAATATAAGCATAAATTGGAACAAATTTAGGCTTTGTTTAGAACGGCTTTCTTATGGCTTCTTAAAGTAACTTTTTAACAAAAAATAAAGATTTATATTAAAAAATTGCTTTACGAAACAGTAAGAAAGCCGTCCAAAATGAAACATTAATCTTCAGAATAAAGCATCAATCTTACACAAATGTTTGATAGTGCATGTTTGGGACAACTTTCTTATTACTTTCTGAAACAGCTTTATAGCACAAAAAATTCTCATTAAAAAAATTTTTGTACAAAAAAGCTTTTAAAAAGCAATAAAAAAGCAGCCTAAAACGTGCTTTTTGGCCAACAAAAAACTACTTACTTTTACAGTTAGCTTATATTCATCACTGAACTTCAATTGCTGTGGATGAGCATCCGATTTGCTTTACTGGTTAAGCCTGTAGCTCCTTCCCCTGAAGGCAGAACCAGAGCTGGGAGGAGCAGCACTCGTCGGCCTTGCTCCAGGACTGCTGTAAGTGTACGCTTGTTGTCTTCCTGTAGCCCAACGTGCAACTAATCTGTGTCTGTTAGGAATGGTGGTTAAGAAATTCAACTTAATGGAGAACTTATTTTTAGTAAAAGGTTCAATCCTAAAATGATCCCCTGATCATACTTAGGCTACGTTTAGGACGTCTTTTTTACGGCTTCCTAAAGCAACTTTTTAATATAAAATTAAAAAACTTTATACTAAAAAGTTGTTTTAAGAAGCAGTAAGAAAGCCGTCACAAACGAAACCTTAGTGTCAATGTATCACATTTCTTTAATTTAGTATCTCGATTATACAAAATTTATCCAAGATGATATCTGTAAAATTAAACTGAGATCAATTTTGCATCGAAATGACCGTTTGAATTAATTTTGTATAATCGAACAGTTAAATTGAAAAAAAAATGTGATATGTTGAGCTTAAATCGGCCATATATATGACTAATCAGAGGATTATATTAAAATTGAAATATTTTTACAGCAACCACAACAACAAGTCTTTATCCCACTAAGTGGGATCAGGAACACGAATCATTTTTCTTCATTGTGTCCGATAAAAAATCAAATTTAAAATGAGAAAAGGATCAAAATGATCCCTTGACTCTTTATAAAAGATCAAAATGATCCCCAACTATATTAAAAAATCATTTTGATCTCTTACAACTTTAAATCATGAAACAAATAAAAGAAGCAGATATATATAACAAATATAAATCATCCTAAGCATCTTATAGAGCTGCTCTAGAAGAGGAAGAAACCAAGCCTCATATATATGCACTAAATTGTTAGGAAAACTATCACTACCAAGGAATATATATATTGGAGAAAAAAAGGATACAACCACATTGGTGTCTTCAGAATGTTTCTTCCTCCAGCAAGTGGATGTAAAACGGTCAAAAAATAGTATAAATGTCCAGCAATGATTCCCATCAGATCAGGCAGAGGAGAAGCACCAAATAACACATCCAATGCAAGCATAGCCCATGGCAGATAAAATGCCTAAGATTCAAATATTATATTACCGTTGAAGTGATCCAAAGAGCTAGAAAGAATACAGAAAAAGACAATTTGGAACTAAAAAACCATTATTATGAATACCTTCAATGTCACAAGGCCGTATATGTTGACCTGAGCGTTAGGGAACTCTCTGCTCCACAGATAAAGAAGCATGAAGACCATTGGAATCCCCAAGAAGGGAGATGAAAACCATGGAATGGCTGACAATACCTAAATTGTTGAAGTATCAAAGCAAAGAGAAGATCAATAAAGTGGAAAATTATTAGATGCAGACACCGGACGAGAGGTACGTCCGGACTCCAATAAAATACCGACACATGGAATGGACACGTGGATATTCAATTCCGCAGAACTTTAAGCCAAGCATAACAATAGCACAGGTAAAGCGCAGTCAAAAAAGAGCAATCAAAGCGCAACTAAAGTGCAACTAAAACACAGATAAAGCACAGTTAAAGCACGGCAAAAAAGCACAACAAAAGAGCAGTCCACAACTAAAGTACAATTAAAGCGCAGGTAAATGGAAGAAAAATCGCACAAAAAGTACAACTAAAGTGCACTACATGCGTCAAATTTTAAGTGGACGTTCGGACGTATCTCTACGTCCGGTGTCCTCACCTAATAATTTTCCCAATAAAGCAGGCAATCTATTGCAGTAAGAAGTAGAGATTCTACTTACTAGTAAAGAGAAGGCTCCAAATATCATCATCCATAGAAAATCAGCTGTTCGTTTGTCAAATGGACCATTTTCCAGTTGCACCCCATATCTTGCACTGCATGGAAAGGTAATTTTCCTTGAGTTAGCGCCCTATTGCATGGTATGACATACCTTGAAGCTGAAACGGTATTCTGAAGGCAGATTTATACATCATGAGAAGACGAATTCCAAAATTGATAGAAAATTTTCCAAGGAAGAAAAAGTTTGTTATCAGCCTCCAAACCTGCAAAGTTTTAACAAAATTTAGGATTTGTTGTCCTTTCTTGAATTAGATTTTGCATCCACAAATGCAAATGAGAAGAGAAAAGTAAGTGAGATAGCATATTCTCGCATAAACACATACTGAAAAATCTCCATTAGTAACATATTCAGCTAAGGGTAACAAACACTTTCTTCATGGAATGACAAAGCTGGAGGATAAACAATTCCATTGCTCGAAATTTCAACAGCTTGTACATCAAAGTAGCATATAGATAAATAATCTGTGCTAACAATATGATTCCACCATTTCACTAAAAAAGGCCACAGGACTGCCACAATGCGAGAATTGGCAAAGCAGTGATAAACTTATTTTCAATAACCGACCTTTCTAATGAATTTAGTAACAATTTAATAGTAACAGGAAAGAACTATACTTTTACATTAATTTAGAACAATATAAAGGTAAAATTAAGATCATATATGCAAAAAAATTACCACTAGCCTCCATGTTTGCATTAGTAAGTAAAGGTAGTGCTTGCTCAATTGTTAACAGAAAAAAGTGATAAGAACTTTCAACAAAACAAAGCATTACAAAGTCAGGAGAAAAATGATCAAAATATGAAGTGTGGAGAAAAATGAAATTCTTTACAGACCGAAAAAAGCACAATAACTAACTTTCCACAAAACAAATAAATGTCACTACAACTCCCTTGTACAAGACGAGTCACTTTCAAAATTCAGATCCAAACACTTAAACTGAAATAATCTGCCCCCCTATTGGAACATATTAGTTAAAGCCTACTTTAGGATTAGTTTATCTAGTTTTGTAGAATATTCTACTTATATATACCAGTTGTGAGTAAGAGAAGGCATCAATGAATATTATATGATTGTAAGCCCTTAAGATTGATTTGTTCTCTTGATCTTGGTGTTGCTTCTAGCAGATCCGTTTTTTCCGCCGATCCACCACATCAATTCACCGCTCCAAACTCATATGCTACGGTGGTCAAAACAAAAACTTATATGTTATACAAAACAAATGGAGGCAGTAATGCAACATTGTTTAAAATAAAACTATTGTAACAGAGATCAGTATAGCTGGAAGATGAGTAAGTCTTATGTTACATGCAAAAAAGAAATACATCATGCAAGTACCTAATACTTCTAAGTTAAAAATATAATGAACATTTCTTATTGCTATCGCTAATTGCACAAAAATAGAATGCCCCAAGAACAGTTAGGTAATCAACGGTCATTTTAAGCAGTATTCCTGAGGTGAGCTATTTAACAAATGGATACGTCTATTTCGCCTTGAGAGTGTTCTAAACTTAACTGGACATTGCATAAGTATATGCATTATAAATTATAACATCCATTGTAAACAACAATAACAACAACAAGCCTTTATCCCACTACGCGGGGTCGGCTACATGAATCATTTTTCTCCATTGTATCCTGTTAAGAGGCAAATTCTCATTTAGATCTAATAAAAAAACGGTCATTTCTAATGTTTTCTATCTAACCAAGTCTTTTAGGACTCCCTCAACCTTTCTTAACATAGGACAAATCTAATACAACTAATCTCCTAACCGGGTCATCGGAAGACCGCTGCTTTATGTGACCAAACCATCTAAGGCAACTCTTTCTAATCTTATCTGTCACTGGAGCTACTCCAACCTTTCATATATATGCTCGTTTTGTATTCTGTCTCTAAGAGTAAAGCCACTCATCCACCTAAGCAACAAAAAAAAAAGCACAACGAAATGTAGCATTTATAAAAAGGGTCTTAACTTGCATAAAGCAGCAATCAAATGACTCAATGTCAATATGTTCTAGGGACTGGAGAAATTTAAAATCTGAATCAGATTATGCATCAACACAATACAATTACATGCATAGATAACTTAAACAATAAGTGGAAAATGGTTTTACCTGGAAATGTGAAAACACAAGAGGAAAATGTAACGCAATATAAAGAGGATTCAACAGCCCCAAATGGTATGCTGCAGTAGTCAGCAAACACAGGGTCCCATAGGCCTTGCTCACAGGAGGAAGGGAATTGTAGAATCTGATAGAGGACAGAAATAGATTCTCCAAACTAATTAGAATATATATTTAATTACATAAGATAAATGGCAAGCAACTGTTTTTTCATCAATCAATTAAAAAGATATGCAACATTTGAGGCATTTTACAGGAAGCAAACAATCCAAGATAGGGAGCCAGGTCATCCAAATTAAAAATAACAGTCTGAAACCGTATCTCAGACAATCTAGGACACCATAAATCCAGTATGCAAAATTAACGGACATATAACATAACTGAACTTACTGAAATAAAAGCAACAAGGAAGTTTATTTATCGATCAATCATAAATCCAGGAGTAACCATTCATACAATCAGTTTGGGATGTCTAGAAATCAGCTTCAGAATGTACATTGAATTTATTTTATTTTTTAGATTTCAGCATGTGAAACATCCAAAAAAGAATCAGGGTAACTTGAATGAAAAACAATAGATATTTTCATATGTTATACCACATAATTTCAGTTGGATTATGCAAGACCAATGTCAAAATTAACTACGCAATCACATTTGCAAGAGTAACTCATAGGAAATACTTGAGTTCTCAAGTAAACCTAAGGTAAATACTTGAGTTCCCAAGCAAACCTAGCAGTGATTGGTGAAAAACAGCAGGAAAGACTGCTGATTACAGCAGAAAACAGCCACGGTATAGCAACCTTCACGAGAAATATGGAGAAAACTGAGAGAAATACGAAGGATTCCACTAGCCAATGCAGGAAAACAACAAACGATACAAGTTTCTTAGATTTGAGAGGAAGAAACAACTCTCAAAATCTCTAGCTAGGGGTGTCAATATTTGACACGACCCGAAAACCCGACCCGAAAATTTCGGGTTCGGGTTGACCCGAAACCGAAACGGGTCGAGTTCGGGTTAAGGATTTCGACCCGATTGTAAAACTCGGTCGGGTTCAGGTTGACCCGGAAACCCGATAGTAACCCGTTTTGACCCGTTTGTAAAACAGTTTCCCGCTCATTCGTTTCCATCTGTCGCATCGCGTCATTTGTCGCATCAGAACTCAGATGGCAGATGCCAGTGCCAAGTCGCGTCTGCCATCCGTTGTCATCTGTCCGGGACAAGGGCGTCGCCGCGTCAGGACTCAGGCGTGTCGTCCGTGACCGTGAGGTCTGTCAGCGACTGCGTCAACGCCGGATTGACGCACAGACCATGCTTAAACGTCTTAGGCACAGACGCACAGTCCATGCCCCCGTCCAAACCCGTCGTTAGAACATACATGTTCGTCGTTCTCTTCAAGCAGCAGCCGCCGCCGCCACAGCTTTTACCGGATTGACGCCTCTGCGGCCGCAACTCGTGTCGGACCTCCACCGCCGCCACTATCGGCTTTCCGCCGTTGCAGTCCTTGCTGCCATCCCGCACTACACTTTCCGCCTCAGTCCGTCAGACGTAAGCTACTAACGCCAATCAGCCGGGTCGGGTCGGGTTGACCCGAACCCGAAACGGGTGGGGTTTGAAAAACTGACCCGTATCGTCCTGGACGACTCCCAGAACTATTTTCAGGCCGATATTTTGAACAGTACAGATCGTCCTGGACGATCTCAATATCGTCCCAGACGATCCTGGGAGGAAAATCCAAGCTAGAGAGGAACAGTAAGGGAACGAGGTCTCACACACCCTAGATCTCAAATTTGATTTCAAACTCAAGATGATCCCTAATTCTAGTATTAGCAACTAATTAAAGCCAAAGGAGTAATACAAAATCCCTAAACAGCCCCTAATTCAAATATTTCCCTCCAAACAATCTTTAATCAAGGTGTGGGCCCCATAGGAGTAGCCGGCCCTCTCTCTCTCTCTCCCTTCCTTGGGCCAGCTGTAGTAATAGAAAACCGGTCCACTAAGGACCGATTCAATAGGTGCAGCCAGTCCCTCTTGGGCCGGCCTAACAGTAACACTATCTGGCATACCATCCTTGAAACATATCAGGATGATAAGCACCTAGTCGAGTCTCTCGTTCTGCATTAGTAATGCCGCCCTGGCATATACAGCAGCATACACCAAAAGTTGAACAATCACGGCAAATCTAGCAAGGCTAGCATAGGGGCATATCAACTAGCATATGCGGCAATTCAAACAATTGCATCAAATTTGTCAAGGCTAGCTTATGGGTCTCGCTTACCTTCTTCAACAAAAGAATTGTATCCTCTTGCTTTTGGTTCCATTCCAATTTGGCTTTATCTCTAGTCAAAGCATATAAAGGAGATGCAAATATTGAAAAATGATAGATGAAACTATTTACAACAATCATTGTTTGTGGTTTAGGCCACTCCTTGATTGCTTTCACCTTTTCAAGAGGATCAATCTTGATCTCTCTATTGCGAAGTCCAAAGCAGAAGAGTAACTTATGGTGAATTCACACTTCTTTGGTTGAGGTGGAACTGGTGTTGTTGCATTAGATGGAATACATTCCTCAAACGCTCTAATTGCTCTGCCAATGTTCCGCTTTAGACTAAGATATCATTAAGATAAGTAGCATCAAAGAAATACATGTGTGGTAGCATAACATCATTCATCAGCCTCATGAGTATAACTAAGGCATTGCAAAGTCCAAATGGCATAGCCAACCACTCATATAACCCCTATCTAGTTTTGAAAACCAACCTTCCATGCATTCATATGAATAATGTAAACTAAAGATATCAAGATTTGAGATCCAACTAGATAACTATTGTTGTAGACTTCAATTGCTTTAGTGGGACATTAATGTGAGACATCAAATAATAATTCTTATTATTATTTTATTGAGAGTGCAATAGCCAACACATAATCTAAAATACCATCTTTCTTTGAGACTAGCAAAATGGATATAATCAACAAGGCAAATTGCTAGGCTTAATAATTTAATTCTTCAGCAACTCTGCAACATGCATTATGTTGCATTCTGATTTCTTCATTTTCAATGAGTTACGATGCATCGAAAGATTTGTTAGGGACCAATGTAAGATCAGGTGTACATCATGTTCTATGAGTCACAATAGTGTAAACCTCTATAATCGTGAAAGAACAGTGCATGCTTCTCCAACAATTATCATAGTTTACATCTCTAGCCATACTCAATACAATCTTGCAATACTCCTTTCATGATAAGTCCGATAATTAAAAGAAAAAAAATTTGTGCAATATTTATAATTTTACCTACATATCCTATGGTCATGACATCCACAAATGGTACATCGGTATTTCCTTAAGTACTTCTTCGCATCCTTAGATATCTAACTTTGACAGGGATGGTGATGCAACATTATCTATGTCATGCAGTTGTGGATTAAAAATGATAATTTAATATATTTCAAGTGGAACTACCTCAAACAATCTTGTCGTTTTAGTCCTTAACAATTGCAAACTTCAACCTGCATTGGCAATCAATCCTCATATTCGGCACCTCAAAGGATAAAGGTTTAGATGAGGTATGGTGTTCAATCCAAATTTAGCACCGAAGTGAGAGAAACGTGTTTCTTGTTGTCGACGTCAATCATGACGTTAATCACATCTTACTTAACCTAAATTCTCAAACTGATGAATTCTTCTCGTGTCTCCGTATTAGAGTATGACCTTTTTCACTACATCCTTAGACATCAAAAGATAAGGACCGGTTCATTTTGTCTAAAGGCTAAGCATGGTGTTCCATGCAACATCTTTCTTTGGGACAAAAGAAGAGTTTAGGATATAATTTCTAACATTTTTCTCATGAATGGATAAGCATCGGGCAATAATCACAAAACTTTCTAGTAACAATTAGCTTCCAGGTGGAGGAAACCTCTATAGCTCCTAAAAGAGTAGTGCATACTTCTCCATTAGTTGACTTAATTGTACATCTCTAGCCTTACTGCATATAATATAACAAAGCTTTCTTACTTCCTTCATAAAAAGTCTGATAACTGATAAGCAAAAGCAAAAAGTTTTGTGCAACATTTATAATTTTACCTATATGCCCTATCATCACAGCATCAACAATTGGTACATCAATCTTTCAATAAATACTTCACATCATTACTTGTCTAATTTTGATAAGGGTGGCAATACAGCACTATATATGTCATATAGGTATAAGCTAGAAATGACAAGTTGGCAGATATGAAGTAGAACCACCTCGTAAAACTTCTTATCGATATAGACCTTAGTGATTGCAAACTTCAACCTGCATTAGTGATCAATTCTCATTATAGACCCTTTTTGAATCCATCTCAAAGGATAAGAACATATATGAGGTATGGCGTTCAATCCAACTTTTGCACCAAATTGGTAGAAATGTGATTCTTCGTATTGTCATGACTCATATCTCCATATTAGAGGATGACATTGTCGTTGCATCATTTGGCATAACCATCAAGATAAGGACCAATTCATTTTGTCCACAACATTAAGCATAGTGTTGTCCACAGTACTAACAGTCGTATTTCTTTTTCTATCCTTCTTCCACTTTTAAAGAAAGAGTTTAGGGTGTAATTTCTAACATTTTTCCTCAAGTATGGCAAATTATCTAGCAAAAATCAAATACAACATTAAAATTTCAGGAGGAAGCAGGTTTTGGGAGTATCACCATCATACTAGGCTAACTAAGATTGATGATTGAAAACAAGCAGAGTTCATTTGTAAAAGCACTGAGGTGAACATCATTATAATTTGCACATACCTGAGATTATACCCAAAGTAACTGCCTGACATCAGAATTTTGTGGTTTATTCCTACACAAAGTGCCTCAAAAAATATGAGTTCTTCCATGAATCTTCAACATATCTCATCAAGTAAAACCCTAGGCATATCAATTGCTTGTACATAAGTCATCTCTTGCTAAAAATTCATTTCTAGATGGCCATTTCATCAAGTTGGGCCAAGGCAAATTTTTCATGAGTGTTACACTCATACAAGCTAAAGTCTCATATTCATGCATGCATCTTCTAAACATCAATTGCCCATTCATTCGAAGGAATTTCCAATTTGGCTTCTAGTTTGAGTGGTCACACCCATGC